CTTATTTATTTATTTAATAGAAGTTTATTATTTAATAAGCAAAGATTTAACATAAAATCTAATATTGTATTACATAATTGATTAAGTTAAAAAAATAATGTACATAACAGTATAAAACTTAAAATTTCAATATTTATTCAAGGAAATATATAAAGTCCATTTTAATCCAATTCATTCTCGAATATCTCAAAATCCTAAAGTTCAAGATAAAAATGTATGAAACAAAGTTGCTCAGTTACTAGGAGGAAAGAAGATGGTGACCTCATTGACCTTAAGAAGATTTCCTTAAAGTCAGGTCAAGGTTTAAAATTTTTTAAACTAAAACTTCTATTTTTGTTTCAAATTCATGTGACTAACTTAAACATAAGGATTTTGAGATACTCTAATTATAAAATGAAAAATATCATGAAAAATATCATATATCATATGAAATATCACATATCATGAATACCATGTGAATATCATGTCATATGAAATATCACATATCATATCAATACTATATCAAAAATATCATATATCATAAATGTGTTTGTGGCAAACACACACAATACAACTGTATTATTTAAAAAAAAGGAGTTTGATGCAAAAGAGCAACAAGTGCTTACTCTTTGATCATGAATGGACTGATGATGCAGATTACGAGCGTGTCTAGCAAGATTGCGTAGCTCCTTAGGGTAAGGGGTCGGTGCTCGATGAAGTTGCCTGGGGACTTCGGAATCTACCTCAGCAGCGAAACATATTCTCTTGCCGTTTCCGATGATCGAACTCGAAATCGGTCCTGCGGTTTGTGCCATTTCTAAAATTGAAATTATAAATATTACTACACGAAGATACAATTAATACAAAAAGAAAATATGTCTAAGACTAAAATACTGACGAATGTGCGCGATGTTTCTCAACGGAGGCACTATTCCATGTCATTTTATCTTACCATGTAATTATACTTAATATCTTACCATTTCATTCCTCTTCTTCCTGTCCCTCTTCTACTAGCAGCGTGAATAAATTTTGCATTTTTATTGTTAATTGAAGATGTGCATAAGCTTGATAAAGCGTGTTTTTTTTTTGCAACAGTGTAAACTGAGGCAAGCAACAAGCTGTTTTTTATTAGTTTAGATACAAACAAAGAAATATTAAAAAATATTTAAATAAAGCTATGTTAAAGGAAGAAATGCAAATGTTATTCTATAAGTTAAGATCTTCAAGCTATTATTTGTGATAAGTGAGAATTTGTAAAGAGATATTAATTGAAACTAAACTAAATAAATTAAACAAACTATGTATTAAAAACGGAAATAATAAACACTCACGCTCTAAGTCTTGCCGCGGTTTCTGTGGCAGCATAAAGCAGCTCAACACCATCATGTCCTCCTCGCAATTGAACTCCTGCTGCAACGGCACTAATGGCTGGCTCTGATTGTCGCTCAGCCACAATGCTTTCAGGTTACTGAGATTCAGCATGGAAACTGGAAGAAACTTGATGCAGTTGTTGACGAGATTGAGTACTCGCAGCGAGGACAAATGGCCCAATTCGGGCGGCACCCGCGTCAGATTGTTCGATCGCAAAGAGAGCAGAGACAACGACGTGCAGCTGCCAATCTCGGCGGGCAACGCGCGCAGATAATTATTGTCCGCATTGAGACAGTGCAGCTTGCGTAGCAAGCCGATCGAAGACGGCAAGTACTCGAGAAAGTTCTTAGTGATTATAAGCTCCTCTAAGCTCGACATCTGGCCGATGTCGTTCGGCAGTGCGTTCAATTGATTGTCGTCGATCTTGAGGGTGACGATCGTGCGCAGGTAGCATAACGTGTCGGGCAGCTCGTACATCTCGTTCGAGGACAGATTCATGATCCCGATGTCGCGCCAGCCGCGTATCTCCATCGGGAGCGCGTGTATCGCGTTCATCGTGCAGTCGAAATGGTTCAAGCGGTAGAGCTGCTCGACATTTGCCGGGACACGCCTGATGTCGTTACCGTCGATCCATAGTTCCGTGAGATTGATGAGATCTCCAACAACTTCAGGCTGAAAACAATAATATAAATATAACACGTATATAACTCTCTACACATAAAATTGAAATAAAAATTCCTGTACTGAAGTTCATGTCATTTAATGGATTCGATACAATTACTATGAATTTTCTCTATTAACTTGAATATCAATAAAAGGATATTAATAAACAAATAAAAAAACGAATAAAATAGGTATGTTTTTAAGAAAATAAAATAAATTTATTTCAATATATATATGAATATTAAATTTAATGATTAAATTCATTAAACTTTATGCTTATATTGAAATAAGTATGTTATTTTTAAACATATAATTTACATGCTTGCTTATTTTTTGGTCTGTTTATTGAATATTCTTCAGTGCTTTCTGGATATACATACAGTGAGAACAAAAAGTATTTGTACTTTTTATTTGTTATAAAAAAATTTGTTATAAAAAATAAGTAAATTAAAAAATGGCTACGACTTTGTAACAAAAGGTGCGTTCTTACTAGTTCCGTGAAGTCATTGTTGCCGATATCGAGCCTTTGTAAATTCACCAGACGGCTCATACTCTTAGGCAACGTCATCATGTTGTTCTCCCGCAGTTCGAGCGTCCTCAAGGCTGACAGTCGTCCGAAGTTAGCCGGCAAGTATTCTATGTACGCGTCATTTATGTAGAGCTCGCGCAAGCCGACGATATGTGTTATAGCATCCGGGAAACGTTCGAAGGGATTGACACTGATATCTATCGAGCGGAGACTTTTGCATTCCTTTATGCTGTCTGGTAACTCCTTTATACCTGCAATAGAAGTACATTACAATCAAATATAAGTACAGTTAATCTACATCTCGATCATAAAGAAACCACATCGACCAATAAAATTGTACCATAAAGTTTTTAGAATACAGTTGCTTTCCTTTTAGGAGTCATATTGATACAAATGTCGTTTTATTCTTTTTGACATTTCATGAATAACAAAGATGCAAAGACACTTGTGTCTTTTAACAGGAAAGTACCACATCTCGCATGCGACGAGATCTTCAAATCCAAGATGTACTTACTGTTCTTGCTGAGGTCTAAGTATTCCAGGTTGATCAACGATGCTATGGCAGGTGGCAACATAGTGATTTCATTATCGCTAAGCGACAGTACTCTCAATTCGTGGCACTGAAATAGCGGTCTGGGAAGATCTCTTATCTGAGGAAGAACGAAAAGAAATAAGAAATGTTGAGTGTGTTGTCATAATAGTTGCTTTTTATTTTCACACAAGTAATATTGAGTCTAAAGTTATGAGTATTTTATGCTTAGATAATGACGCCCCTACTTTCTTACTTTGAACAAAGTTCATGACAACACAGGTTTATAAACCTCACGTTTAATGTGAGTTAATAAGACTCAGTGAAATATATGGTCTTAAGTTCGTGCAGATTGTAGATAAATAAAAAACTCAGTTGAATCTTATTTGTCAAAATGAAAAGGAACATACATTCTACTGAGTCATAAATGAGATATTATAAACGAGCATTATTTGAGTTTTGGTATAAATAGAAAGCAACTAATTGCACGATACAATCAGCAGGAGACTGGCTCTGAGAAGGTGGACGCGGCACTCACTCTATTGGCGTCGAGATACAACTTTTCCAACGTTCTTTCGTAAATGAACACATCGGGTGGTACATCGTAGAGATTACAATGATTCAGCTGTAGCTCGCAGACGTCTTCTTCCTGAGCTCTCAGACACGCAGCGCACTGCCACCAAGAGCTACCCATTTCATGTGTGTAAAACTAGAAACGACACGATCACACTTGACATTAATTATAACTCTAATAATTCACATATCTCCTAACTATAATAAATTAAGTTAGTTAATTCATTTATATAGTTTAGAGTTCAACTTTCAATATATTACAAGCACAAAAAATCATATAAAATTTCAACAAAACTCCAACACAAATTCGACATCATAATATTATTTTCAAAGAATTAAAAATTTAAATCGACATTCTATATCTCTCTATTTTCATAGAAAAAGTCTTTTAACTTGTCCGATAAACTTCTTTGTTTAATTATGTATTATATTAAAACTCTTTTAAGTTTTTCAATCTTATTTTTCAATTTCACTCGTCATTATTCATAGTAAATTATTATTTAATTATAACTTATTTAGTATTCAGATTAGTATTAATAATTATTCAATCAATGTGAATACCAAACAAATCATACCTAATTAAATAAGTGATTATTTAATAATAATTTATTTGATATTCAAATTGGTTGAAGTATTAGATACTAATCCGAATGTCAAACAAATTATATATAATTATAATTATTTAAACAAATGGTATTAAAAATATTAAATATTTACATTAATAATAATTATCTATACTGTTAAAAATGTCATGAGACATTTAATGTACTTTTAAGTTACACAAATTAAATTCAATTTTATGACACTAAATTAAATTTAATATTCTGCAACTGAAAAGTATATTTGTGTACATGTACAATTTAGTGTACATGTACAATTTAGTGTACTTTTCATAAAAATTTTTTTTACGAAGTTTAGTACATTTTTTATTAAATTTTATATAGATTTGCATGAAATTTAATATAAGTAAACATTAAACTTAAGTTACTTATAACTTCATTTCCATTGATAACATTAAATATTTTTAATGTATCTGCTTGAAATTTGCTTCCATTACATGTAACGAAGCAAATTTCTTTTTTTTTTCAACAATGTAAATAATCTTTATTATGAATCTCACTTTTTTTACGTCGAATGTATGTCTATTACATTAATCACAACAAATAAATTGCACCACATTTCCGAACGGGACACCGTGGGAAGCACCGGGAAGAACCGTTATACCTGCGGTGGTCTCAGGAACGATCCGGCCGCGATCCAAGGTGGGGCAGATCCCACCGCTCGCGAGAACGTCGTCGCCGCCGTCGACGACGACGACGATGATGATCCGCGGGGGCACCGAGCCGCCGCCGCGATCTCCAGTCGCCGATCGCCGTATCACCGCGTCGCACCGCCGCTGCGCCGCGGGCTGCGGCCGTGGATCATCGCGTCGCCCGCGGGTATCGGCATCGCCGGTGTAAACGGTGACCTGGCCGACCTGGCTCGTCCCGGGCCCGCTGCGCGAGCGAGCGTACTCAGCGGATTCGCAGTGATCGCCGTGAAAGCCTGGCGTTGTGGTGCGAACGTGAGACGCCGGCGCGAGGAACGTCAAGAGATGATTCGTCGGCGTTTCGCCGCCGTCGTCGTCGTCCTCCTCCTTCTTCTCCTCGTCACCGCCGCCGTCGTCCTCGTCAACACCGTCGATCTTCTCACGCGCATATCTCACTCCCTCCTCATTGTACGACGTACGGCGCCGTACACGCCGACCGCGGGAATCCGTGTCTTCCGAGACGCAAATGCCGATGGGATAACGATACTGTCACACCTCTCACGTGAATCCTACCGAACTACCGAACTCCGAAGGTACCGCAAGAGCGGCCAAGCACCGCGCGAGATTACAATCCAAATACTCCAATGATCGACGCCGAGTCGAGGCCGATTACGAAGGGCATAAAGAGGTAGGGGAACGCGCGGTGGAGGCTAGAAATGGCTAGAAACTGACGCATGATGGAATTAATATATCATTCCACCATTGACTGACGTACGTACAACAGGTTTGTTCGAATTACTTACACTTTTTGTACTCGCAATCAGCATCCTCGCTTTCTCCCACTTCAACGCCCGAATATCTATTTAGGCCTGTTCTTTTTAGCTGAACTTCTTGCACGGTTCATCGTTCATCTTTTTCTCTCCAACAGGAAGAAAGATGAACCGTGCAAGTTTAGCTAAAAAAAAAACCAGATCTTTTAAATGCAAAATTTTTTTGGGGACTTGAAGTAGTGTCGTCAATTTTGTAGAATTTCTATCAGGTTCGAAAGTTTTTCTTTTTACCGCGAGATTTTTTGAGGATACAAAAAGTTTAGGAGAGAATTTCCGAGTGACTTTTGGAGAGGGCAATACAAAAAAGCGCAAATACAACTCAAAAGATTAAGAAAATTGCAATATAACTTTCGAACAGACTTGGCAACAGTGTTTTAAACTATTTTAAAGCAACGCGAACAGACCTTAAGGTGTTTTTTATGCTGGCGTTCGACGCTCGTTTTTAGTGTTAAAATAGATAACGTGATAAAAAATTGATAACAAACATATCACGCGATAAAAATTAATCAAGTGTCAATTTTGATCACGTGATCTTTTTTGACACTGAAAATGAGCGTCGAGCGTCAGCATGAAAAAGCATCTCTAAGGCCGGAATCAGACTATGCATTGAAGATCGAGATTGAAAATTGAAAGATTGAAATTTGATCAATCAAAACAATAGGAGCTAAAATTCCTTTGTCCTCAGTGGTCAAATTTTAATCTTTAGTCTTCAATCTCAATCTTTAATGCGTAATCTGATTCCGGCCTAAGGAAACGTCGATAAAATCCATTCTCTTCAATTTGATATGTATATACGAGAAGTTTCGGCAAATTTTGGCGGGAACTAGATTAAAAGTGAGGTTAAGACTAATATCTATAAAACTTAAACATAAGTAAAAATAATCAAAAAGAAGTCATCAGAAAAAAAGTAGAAAATTTAGTAAGTCATGAGGCCTGTTCTTTTTAGGTGAACTTCTGCACTAATTCATCTTTCTTCTTTTTCTCTTTAGGAGGAAAAAAAGAAGAAGAAAGATGAATTGGTGCAAAAGTTCAGCCAAAAAGAACAGGCCTATGGTTAGATCAGAATATTTTCAAAGGTTGATTGATTCCTCGTCCTACAGAAGACAATTAATGGCTGTGTTCCAAAATTGATTGCCAGTATTGAAGATCTAGTGCCCATGATGTAAACTGTAGCATTTTCAGTGCTGACAGTAAATTTGGGACACAGCCAATGCTTTTTACTATGGCTGTGTTTCAAATTTACTGCCAGCACTGATAATGCTACAGTTTATGTCACGTGCACTATAGATTTTCAGTACTGGCAGTTAATTTTGGAACACAGCCTATGTTTTATACGTCATCGATAATCGAGTATTTAATAATATGCTATTAACTACTGACGAAAACATTTCGTATAAACGCTAGTTAAGTCAAATTTTATAATATCAGTATCGTAAAATCGGATTTAATCGTGTTTATAAGACGTATATATTTTATCGTATATATTAGACGTATATATTACATCAGCAGTTAACACAAACACTTAACTCTATCAATGGCTGCGTTCAGCAGACTCAACAGTTTTGCAACCGTTTTATGATTGTCTGCTGAGATAGGACCATTCTTCTAGATCTAAAAGTATGATCCAATTAGCGCGAAGGAAACTTCCAACAGTTGCAAAACAAACGTTCTGCTGAACGCAGCCAATGTGTAAACCTGATTAATGATAACGTGTAAACGTAATCATTATTATCAGATGTTGCAGAATGGATTTAATCTGGATTTAATTCTTTCTTGCTTTAATATTATTTATTAATATTTTAGTTTATAAATGAATTATTTTTATAATTATATTGTATACAACTCTGAACAAAAATATTAGGTACCTTATTAAGTATTATTAAAAATTTTAGCTTAAAAGTTCATAGCATTTGCTGTAAATTAGCCTTTGTCTCAAGAATCCTTTAAACTTACGTATAATATTAGGCCTGTTCTTTTTGGCTGAACTTTTGCACCAGTTCATCTTTCTTCCTTTTCTCTCCAGGAGGAAAAAAGAGGAAGAAAGAACTGGTGCAAAAGTTCAGTCAAAAAGAACAGGCCTATTGGTAATCAAAAGATAACAATCTAGAAAAAAGAATTCCAGATAGATGAAAAAAATGTAGGTACCTAATATTTTTTACCAGTTCTGTATATTTACAATACAAATATACATTAGATACATTTCATTAATTATCAGCAAATTTTTACAAATATATAAACACAGGGTATTTAGAGTATCATCTTATGTTAATTTATATATGTCTTCTTGTATAAAACAGCTATAAAGAAATACCAAAGAACAAAACAAAGTAAAAAGGCAATCCAGTAAGGCAACATGTGTACCTCAGCTCTATGTAACTGGCCCATCTTTAGTTTATTGGAACCAGAGTTTGTATCACAGATTCATATGGTTGTTGTATATGGTAATTCACTTTCTTTTCTTCCCTTGTATACTTGCCGTGTCAGTGTTGTTTACTTTATGTCTCTCTCAAAACAGGTGACTTAGGTAATGAGGCTTTAATTGTGACAAGGGA